CGAAACGACGGTGACGTTTGGGGAAGCGATTCCTCAGTGTCCCCTTTGTATCATGTCTGTACGTAAACAAAACCCACGAGAAGAGAGAAGGAAGAGGATGATGAGAGAGAAGGACGGACCCGACTGGAAGTGCCGGGGAAGGAGGAGCAGAGAGCCAGGAGTTGTTGACAAGAGAAGAGGGGAGTACTCCTCGACCATTTAAAGATCCGATGTGTTTGTTATGACGTGAAATGAAGGATGCCTTGTTGTGTGATGTGTATGTGTGATAGTAGAGGGGGGAATCAATGTTACCAATTCGCAAGTCGCATGCTGTGCTGGTCACGAGTTCTTTACGGGCATCCGTAATCTTAATCGGTCGTATGTTATTCATCACTGCACCTTTTTTTTGTTCTACTATGCATGCTAGAGTTATTGTCTCGCTCTCATCTCATACTTTCACGACTGGCCTGCCTCAACCACTATCACCCGCAATCTCAGCCATCTTGGTCGTCTTCTTTTTTTTCTTCTTCTTGGGCACGACGACCGGCGGACCAGCAGCATCAAAGCCGCCCTCCCCGGACCCCTCAACAGCCGTCTCGGGAGGCGGTATCAGCGCGTTGTCCTCCCCGCCACCGGCACTATTTTCCGCGTCGTCCGTCAAGAGCACAGCGGGCGGCGCGGCACCGCCGTCGGCGACTGCAGCGGCGGCGGCCTTCTTCTTCTTCTTTCTCGTCTTGACCGCGGACCCCTCGCCGCCCCCACCGTCCTTTTCTGTCTTCTTGGTCTTCTTGGTCTTCTTCTTCACCACCGTGCCGGCAACGTCGACGCCCTGCGCAACCTGGATGCGCTCGTTGGCGCGCTGCATCTCGAGGCGGAGCCTCTCGACCTCCTTCATCGCCTGCGCCATCTCTGCCTCCTCGCGCTGCTGCCGCTCATAGTCAAACGGCGCATTGCTGGACGATGCCGCGTCGCCCTCGAGGCTCAGGGATCCGAGCGTGGACGAGTCGACGTGCAAGAGACCCTGGCGGAGCTTCTTGGCGCGCGACTTTGTGAAGCTGTCCGAGTTGTTCTCCGACTCGTAGTTGCGCGGTGTGGAGACGCCGCTACCGGCGAGTGTTTCGTCCGCGGCGATGACGACCCTCTGCCTCGGTCGCGGTTGCGGTCGGTTGATGGGAGATGTGGGCCCGGGCGCCGAGCTGCCCAGCTTGTCGAGATCCAACTGCATTATCGGTATAGAGTCTATGTCAAGATCTGGGCCGTTTTCCTTTTGGAGAATGTTGTGTATCGGGGTCGACGTCCTAGGTGCCGCGTCAGGGGCGGCGATGTAGAAGGGGTCGTCGCGGTTGCGCTCATTGCGCTCGGCTTTCCTCCTGGCCACGATGTCTGCGTCCAGGTAGCTGTCTTCCGTTGCCTGCTGCTGGTACGAGCTGACAACCTCCTCTGCCGGAACGTCGGCGATCCTGCTGATGGCTGGTTCGGAAGAGGATATGCTGGTAGGTGCCGGACGCTGATGGTAGTACACCTCAAAGTCGTCCGCCTCATTAGCCTCCATTGGTATCACATCAGCCTGAGCGAGCAGATGTGCCAGGTTCGGGTGGATAGGTTCATCGAGGTCCAATCCCTCCGGCATGGGAACGTTCCGTTGCGCTCCAACAGCGACGGAATTGAGCTCCCATCCTTGGAATAAAGATGGAATGGCCTGGGTCAGCAGCAACGGAGGATCCTGGTGAGTATCCTCAGTTGACGCCGCCTGACCAGATGCCGCCTCCGCGGTCAGCTTCAAAAGTTCAATAAATTCGACGGATCTCTCCTGAACTTCAAGGTTCGGGTGAAGAGCAAGCGGTTCCAACGTGTGAATGACGCGCGCCAAGAGCAACGAGATCTTTGTTTTCCATTCAGGAGTCCACGGCTGGCCTTCGTTCCCTGCAATATAGGCGAATATCTTTGTGACACCCTGCAGACTTGTCGTAAGAATATCGGGGATATTTGTGCGAGATAATGTGCGTAGTAAGTTTCCCAGAGTGTCCTCAGGGTATGCCAGCTGGTTTGCGTATTCTCCAACCAACCAAGAGGTCGACTTCAGTGATGCTGACGAGAGCGAGTGGCCGGCGGGTGTGTCCGCATTCATTTGTTGAATGATGAGGTCGGCCGCCCGGACCGCCGCCCCTCGTAGCGCATGAACCTTTACCGCGACATTCCTCAGCTCGTCTCCAATCCTTCCTGATACGTCTCCGGCGGTTGACTTTCCAGACGCAGCGACCGAGTCGAGTTCGGTCTCGACCGATCGTGGCGTTGGCGCCATGCGAACAAGCTGGATAAGGACGTCGATATACCAGTCAAAGTCCGTCAAGCTGCTGTAGTTGTTCTGCGAGCACATCGTTAGGATCCGTCCGATGACGTCGCTCCTGTAGTCATCGGGAAGTGGTGGCTCCTCCTCAGCCTTGGTCGGTGAGTGTATCTCGACCTCTGCTTCCTCCTCCGAGTCTATTCCTGTGTCTGGGCCAAGGGGTGCCCCTGGTCGGTCTCTCTTAGGCGCAGATGACTTGAGCTGCTTCATCAGACGGCTCACAATGGACACCAGGTTGTCACTGCTGACCATGCCCTGAACGAGGTCTAAGGCCTTGATACGGATGGTAATATCAGCACTGTCAATACACTCAAGAATGACATCTTCTTGTTGCGCCACCAAGAACGGGTGTGTCACGACGATCTTGTTGAACGCAAGCAATGCAACGTATTTCACTAGCCCGTGTTAGCTTTTTCAAAGTTTACCCTTGGAAGGTCAGGACTCACAATTTGGGTCGCCGTCCACCATGATCATGCCCCTGAGCTTGTTCACGCAAAGCGTCGCAATTTCTTCTCTGCCTGAAACGTCGTCCGCGCTGCCTAGAATGCCTCCCTGAATGATGCCGTTGATGCACTCGTAGAGTAGCGACATGGCTGGTGTCGTCCGGATCAGCTCAGTCAGGGGCGGCAGCAACTTTCGAACAAGGCGAGGTTCCAATGGTGTCAAGGTCGCAAACTACACCCAGTCAGTAACCCATATAGCAGCACAACCAAATCAGCCAAACATACAAGTTTGATCAGCTTGATGGCCATCCAGTTATTACCGCCATCGACAAGGAGCTCAAACAGCCTGGGTGCCAGCGGTAGGAAATCATGCGGTCTCCTCCATCCCAGCTCGCACACCACATTGACAATGGCCGCCGTGACACTCGGGTCCTCGTCCTTGTCCATCAGCCGCTCCTTGATCTTGGGCCACGCCGCGCGCAGCGTCTCGGGGTACACCAGCGCCAGGCGGTACAGCGTTACAATGGTCTTCTTGCGAATGGCCGGGTTCGAGTGACCGAGGCGCGGGAGAAGGTCGGAGAGGGTCGAGAGGGCGAGGGAAGGGTTGATGATGTGCGGCAGCGTAGCCATTGGTAGGGAGATGGTGGTCGCTTGTGTCGACGACAGGTCCTGGAAGCACAGTTGTCAGTCTCACTCGTCCTGTGTGTATTATCTAACAACCCCCAACCCCTCCTCGGGCGCAAGAATGGGACGGTTAGCATTACCTTCTTCAAAAGATTCGTAGCAAGCATGAGCACTTCAGTATCAGGTCGGAAGCTCTGGACAGCGGCCAGGTACCCAACCCTCTTCTGGTGGTACTTTTGCGACGACATGACCTCGAGGACATGGAACGAGGCCCACGACATATCGTGACCAACCATTTCGAGGTAGACCAGCTTCAGCAGCGCCGTCGCCTTGACGTCTAGCAGAGAGAGAAACGTCCCAAGTCAGCATACCGTTCTCTCTTGTTACCCAAAGATGCTAAACCCCCAGCCGGGGGAGGATTGTCTGGCTCACCCATGTCCTGCCCGCGAACTTCTGCGCGACATTCCTTCAAGCTGTTCTGTATGTACTCGCGCTCGTTGCCTTTATGGTTTCGCAAGCCTCTAATGAGGTCGTAGAGGGATTTCTCGAACCTGGGGTATGCGTCCGGTCTAGTCAGCGCGCTGAAAGCTCCCTTGCGGCGCAGAGTGTGGTGACTTTATTCTTGTTTTGGCGAACGTCATCCACCTCCCCAAGAGAGAGACCTACATCTTGAGAATGACAACAGCCCCACGCTAGGGGGGGAGAAGGCAGCCTAGAGAGGGCAAAAGGTATCGAGTTTCGGAGCGAAGTATTGGGGGAGGTTTCGGTCATGTACTCCGCGTTCTATGGCACATTGTGGATGGAGGTCGGCTCCGGTGGTATTGTCGTCGTCGTCTTCGTTGCCGCCACCGTCTCCTTGGGGATAATATTCAAGGGATGTCAGAAGTCGGAGGATATGCGGGACGGTTGATGACGGGCTTGCTGTGGCTTCCCAACTTGGCTTGTGGAGAGAGCTGTGGTGCTGTAGCGGTGCTTGCTGCTCGATAATCCAAACCCCACCAAAGCCCAGCCCGATAATGATGTGCTGGGGCTCCACGACCTCGACCTATTAGGTTGGTACTGTGTCTATCAGCTTCCCGCCCTATCGGGCACTGTACGGCCGATGCAGACCGCAAACCCAATCCCACTAACACCGACCGACAGCTTCTTTCTAATCGTCATTGCGCCCAGCTCCACGACATTTTTCTTTGGGACGAACTCATTCAAGCATCTCGGCATTTCGGACGGCGCAACAAGAACCTCGCGGGAGGTCTCTGTATACCACACACTCGTTCTTCACTATTTCCATCGGCAGCATTGTACACTACAAACGAAAAACATAACCCATTGACTTAATACCGGCCTTCCGCGTCCTCTACAACCACATCGCGAACCTCGAAATCGAACCTCGAAAAACAATCCATACTCGAACCCACCTCCAAACCCTCGACGTCCAAACCAAACCGCACAAGATGGCAACAGCAAGACCCCTCCTCCGCCTCCCGGCCCCATTACGAACCTCTCTCGCCTCTCGAACCCTCCTCAACCCCCCCTCCCGCCGACCCTTCTTCAACCTTCCAAACCTCGCACCCTCCACCACCCCGCAAGTTCTAACCGCAACCCGCACAATGCCCTACCTCTCCACCCAACTCTACGACGTAATCTCCGACGTGGACGCCTACCAGACCTTCGTCCCCTACTGCGCCGCATCCCGCGTGACAGCCTGGTCCGAACCCGACTCCACAAACGGCGGGCGTCGCTACCCGACGCAAGCTGACCTCCGCGTCGGCTGGGGCGGCTTCGAGGAGACGTTCACGAGCAGATTACACTGCGTTCCCGGCAAGAGCGTCGAGGCGATCAGCGGCGCGGACGTGGAGGGCGCCAGCCCGGGAAACGGAGGCGAGGGCGGCGCCGTGTTTAGGAGTTTGGTGACAAAGTGGCAATTGAGGCCGCTTGCCTCCGGGACGGGCACCGAGGTGGATCTGGTGATTCGGTTCCAGTTTGCGAATCCGTTGTACTCGGCCGTCAGCGCTGCGGTTTCTGAAAAGGTGGCGGGCGTCATGATTGAGGCGTTCCAGAAACGTGTAAAGGCGGTTTTGGGTACTCCTAGGCTATAAAGGGTCCTTACTCGATCTTCTCTGCAAGAAGCTCTGTAGAAGATTTGTACAACATGTAGACTAATAAAGACATGGCAAAGGATTGAGAAGTAAAAATCAATCAGAGGTCATTGTCAAGAAGTGAATATACAAAACAGTGCAATGTTCGTTTTCGTCGCCAATAATCTACTACACCATAGCTATCTGTGCAAGAAGAATAAAACAAGAAATAAACATCTACCAAAAGGGCCTCACAGTTTCGTCCTCCTCTTTTTGCGCCATGCCTCGAAAAAAATGTCGTATCCCCTAGCTTGCCCCCATGATGCATGCAATGCTCCGCCAAAACATGGACGGTCTCTCTCTCTGGGGAAAAAGGTGTGGCCGTCCTCACGCAGCTCATACTCCGGCATACATGCGTTATAAGATCGTCGAAATGAACCGTGGTTGCCGTAAGATGCATTTCGGAGGCTCGATCTGACTGACGGGAATCTGAATAATGTGGAAAAGAAAGGCGCGACAAGGTATCATATGTAAAAACAAATAAAGACCCCCCAGCCCAGCAAATTCGTTGAGTGTGTGTGATCGTAACAGGTCTTTAGAGTTGAAGGAAATCTCCGATATGCGCGCTGGTGATCATTTCTTCCTATGTATCTGTTAGCGCACAGCACCAGCGTGGCAATCAATAGTTAGGGGCAATTTACTTCTTCTTGGGAGCCTTTCCGCCACCGCCGGCCAAGAAATTGAGCATCGAGCCCTTGGGCTTGGATTTGTGCTTAGGCTTGCCGGGCTCAACCGTGACGACGTTGGCAGGCATGCCGTGACCGCCGGGACGTACGCCGGGAGGGACCCAGCCCGGTGGCGGAGGTGGCTGTGGGCCGCCACCGCCAGCGGGCCTGCCACCTGGAGGAGCCATACCCGGAGGGAAGCTACCCATTCGAGCATGCCCGTGTTGCCTCATGCCTGCCATATGCGCCATCCTCTCTCTGGTGGCAGGGTCGAGCGGCATGCCATGCGGCGGCATAGGCATGCGCGGAGGCGCCTTATCCATGGGCCACATTCGCATCTCAATGGTCCAGTCTGGCTCGACCACCTTGTCCCAGACCTGGGGCAAGATGATCTCTCCATTGGGACCAATCAAGTCGTAGTGACCCTCTTGTACATGTGGTCCGATGACATCCACGTGAATGAAAGCTTGCTTAATGAGCTCCTCCATACCCTAAATCAAGATTAATTTGGTGCCAGTGATAAGGGGGAAGTTTTTGGAAAGCAAACGTACTGTCCAGGTTGAGCACAAGTGGAAGGGGAAGCTAAATTTCCTGCCCACGGCATCCTTGAACTTGATGGGGGCTTTGTCTTTGCCCTTGTCTTTGTCGGCCTCGTACTTGGCCTTGGCCTCTTCGGTGTACTTCTTTTTGAGCTCCTCGTCGGCCTTCTTGGCAGCAGCGGCGGCAGCAGCAGCCTCTTCGGCGGCCTTCTTCTCAGCCTCCAATTTGGTACGGGCTTCGAACTCGGCCTTGGCCTTCATTTCCTCCTCATACTTCTTCTTGGCTGCTTCGGCCTCCTCGGCCGCTTTCTTCTCGGCAGCGATTGCGGCTTCGGCCTTCAACCTCATCTCCTCCTCGTACCTCTTCTTCTCCGCCGCAGCCTCCTCCGCCGCTTTCTTCTCCGCCGCAACCTTGGCTATCCAGTCGGCTTCAGCCTTTGCCTTGAGATCGGCTTCGAGCTTTGCTTGTGCCGCCGCAGCTTCGGCAGCTGCCTTCTTCTCGGCCTCCATCTTGGCACGGGCTTCGTCTTCGGCCTTCTTGCGCATGTCGTCCTCCCACTTTCTCTTGGCTTCGGCCTCTTCGGCGGCCTTGGCTCTGGCATCGGCCTCAGCCTGGATTGCCTCCTTGAGCCGTTGTCTCGCTTCGGCTTCGGCCTTGACGCGGGCCTCTTCCTCAAGCCTCTTACGCTCAGCTTCGGCCTTCAACTCGCGTTCCAACCTCTCCCTGGCTTCACGCTCAACCTTGGCCATGGCTTCCTGGTGAAGCTTTTGTCTCTGCTCCTCGGCTTTGCGTTCAGCCTCAATAGCCTCTCTAGCAGCTTTTTCGGCCTCAATCTTTGCCTTTTCAATCTCCCTTTGGGCGATCTCTTGGGCCTCCTTCAGGGCCTCCATTCGTCGCTTGATGTTCTCTTCTGCTTCCTTCCGGAGCTTCTCCTCCAGCTCTTTCTGCTTCTGCTGTTCCTCCTTCTCAGCCTGCATCTTTTTGAAGAGTTCGAGTTCTTGCTGAAGCTTCTTCTTCTCAGGGTCCTCCTTTGGTGGCGGCTCAGGTGCGGGGGTCTTTGACGGTTGCGGTGCTTCTGTAGGGGGAGGGGGAGGGAATTGTCCGCCCATGTACTGCATGTGGTGTTGCATCTGTTGATAGCCGTGAGGGTTGTAATGGGCCGGCGGGTGCTGTTGCTGGTACGGCATCATATCGTACCGTCCAGGCTCTCCTCCGAAGTAGCTTTGCCCACTGTGGTTCGACATTGGTGAAAACGCATGATTATTGTAACCACCATATCCCAACATTCGGGGTTCCGGATGGCCGAATGGACTCGGGGCGCCGTAGCCGCCTACGTGACTTTGAGGGTAGCCAGCTTGCGGGTGGCCGCTACGACCACCATAGTAGGAAGGATGCCCCCCATGGCCAGGCGCCGGTACGTGACCGTAGCCGGAACGGGGACCAAAGGGGGACGCGTAATCGTCGTTAGAATCCAGGCTTTCGGTAGGGGTCGGCACTGGACCGGGCCGATACGGGAATTGGATGGATGTGCCGGGAGGAGGAGCAGTGGGTTGGGGGATGTGATGTTGACGATATTGAACTGCGTGTTGTTGACGCTGATGATGTTGTTGCTGGTGATGTTGCTGCAGCGGCGGACGAGCGTATCCGGGAGCACCGTCGTTTGAGGCCGAGTCGTCTGGTTCGAGATCCTCGGAGTCTGCTAAGGAAGAATCTGTTTCTGAGTGTTCGGAGGAGCTGACACCTTCAGTCTCGTGGTGGAGCTGGTGGCTGCTTTGGTAGTACGACTCGTCTTCACTTGCTGAGGTGGATCGAGACGCTATGGGCGCGGACGACAGATGACCCGGGCGTCGATATTGGTGAGCTCGTCTTCCGGTTGTGTTAGTGGACTGGTGTATGGTGAAAGCCACCAAGTCGATTGGTCCCTGGCGTAGTTGAAAATATAAAACTTACGCGGACGACATGAGGAAGTCTGTGGCGAAGAAAAAGACCCTTTACTCACGACGATCTCGCAAGAAAGTCGGAGCAAAGGGGTGAATCGAGCGAGGACGTGGGATGAAATAGGGTAGGCGAAAGTCAGGGTTCCTCTATGGGAAACCGACAGGAATTCGGTGTCGAGGGCTCGAATGTAATGGTGTGTAGGTCGGGTGCAGCGTTCGTCCTGGCGCAATTCGCACAAGGGTGGGTGGATTCCAAGCAACGAACTGGTGGCGGAAGAAGGAAAGGGAGGACGGGTTGACGGTTAAGATTGAAAGCAAAGCGATCAGATGACAGCAGCGTAGAGCGGTAAGAGAGGCGACGGCGGCGAGCGGCAGACTTCAAGAAAACAAAGTTTCTGTGCGAAGGACTGAGTTGCAGGACGAGTCGAGACGAGACGGACGGTTTGCGAAAATTGAGGGGTGGGCAGGGCGGTAGTCGGTGGGTGGATATTCGTTCGTGGGCTTGGGAATGTACCCAGGGAAGCCCCCTGCTATTTGGCGAGATCGTGCAGTTGGGCGCAAAAAGAAGCGCGATTGGGTGCAAGGAAAATTGTGGCAGCTGGGCAGCTATTGCGGGTCTAGTCGACCGCTCCGTTTAAGACAACCTTTTAGGTAGACAAGGCCAAAGCCAAGGCGTACGGGGTTCAAGAAGGAGCACCAAGGGACGAAGTACACCTCATGCACAACCTAAGCCGCAGCCAGGTCTGGACGAGTCGGTATGAATTGGCAACTCTGAACCCTAAAGAGAGAGAGAGAGAAGAGAAGAAAGCCTGTTGGGGTGGCGATGCGATGTGATGTGCTGCGCTGCGCTGCGATATGCGATGCGATGTCCACAGCAGAAGTACTTTGCTCCGTCGAGAGGTCAAGAGAGAGCGAGAGTGCCGACCAAGTGGAAGAGACCCGTCCCACTTTTGGACGGAGCGGGAGGAGAGGGAATCGTGCTGGGCACCTCAATTGCCTGATCAAGCGGTTGGTCTTCAGGGATCCGGTAGCCGACAGACGGGGGTTGTCGGTGAGAGCAAAACCAAAAAGCGGGCAACGGTCGACACAGCGGGCGAGTCCTCGAGCTCCAAGCACTAGGTACTTTACGGAGTAGTTACTGGAAGGCGTATCCGTCCGTAGTGCCGCGTTATGGGAGAGCGCAGTACCAAGCAAAATGCCTAGGCTATCTTGGGTACTGATACCACCTAAGCTACAAGTCTCAGATCAGCACACATTCCGGTGAATCATGTGGAATGTACACACAGACACAGACATGATAAAATAGGCATGGAGAATGGAGGGAGGGGGGAGGGGGTGGAGGGGAAGCGAATGTGCACCAAGAAAAAACACAATGGCTCTTCTGGCGGTCACTACGACCAGCCAGGGCGAGCCCAACCCAACCCCGCCATCCCATCCCATCCCATCCTCTCAGCCCGCTCTCAGGCCGTACAGGCTAAGGAAAGTACTGGTAAAGGGACCTGGGGAGAGGGTCAGGTGGGAGGCAATCATCAACCGGGGCACAAGCCAAATCGACCAAGAGTTGTGGTTGGTGAAGGCAGGCAGGCAGGCAGGCTTCAGTGATCCGAGATGCCAGAACGAAAGAAGAAGCCCTGATCTTCGCATCGCAAACGCCGTGACCATCGCCGGGCAGAGAAAACGGGGGGAGAGGATGGCGCATCAAAGGCACTCATCGGTCCCATCCATCGTATGGGGACGGGCAGGGAAGGGAATACCTAGAGAGGCGCCAGGCGGGCACGAGGAAGGGATGGGTGCTGGGCTGGCCGACGGTCTCGACCCCCTTGCTTTGTTGTCCCACTTGGGTGCCCCGGGAGATGGACCAAGGCCCATGGACGACAGATCCAATCGACTAACAGAATAAAGTGGGTGGCCGATTGTCATTCAATGACTGCCAGCAATGAGCACTGCTCCGCTGGCCGGGGGTTGTGTCGGCCATAGAATTGTCAATGTCGGGTATGTCATGGACTCGCGATGTTGCCCCTCATCTACGCTACCTTATTGTGTGTGAGTCCAGACAGCCACCAACAAGCTGATCCATAGTTGGCTAAGCCTCCAAGGCAATTGTTGTCTGGGGTGGCTGTCTGTACCTTACTTGCACAAGACAGGCACATCGACCATCACCAGTGATAGTACTGGCAACGACGACAATAAAATGAGGGGTAAAATGTAAAGTAAACAACACAACCGACGTCGGTAGCTGGCCGAGGTAACGAACAGTTTATTGCCCTGCGGACCGCCTGCAGGTAGCCGGCACTTGACAGCTTCTTGACAGGGGATACAGACACAGATGCAGATACAGAATTGCAATCCAAGTCGAGGTACGGAAACATAGATGAAGAATCACAAAACACCACACACTTGCGTAAGGATGAGTGCTATGTGGGTGTGGGATGATGAGGAATTGTAGAGACGCGAGGAAAGTTGAAGCGAGACCAGAAGAGCGATAGAAACCGTAGCTAACGTTTCACTTACCTTGTTTACTTGGTTCCCCTTTTTTGGTGGTGGTGGTGTGGTGAGGTTTGAGACACCTTTGAGGAGGGATGGGTAGGACCTGAGACCTGAGACCTGACGGGGACGGGCGATGGCAGATCAGACGCAAAGGGTCGTCTCTTTTGGGATGCGGTACAGAGAGAGCACGAAGTAATTCGTATGGTGCTCTTCTCCTTCGTGTTGATTTAGGTTGCTCTCTTGGGCGGGGTGATAGTTGGAACGACCTGAGGTTGGTTCGGATAGGCTTGGTAAACAATTAGGCCAGGAAGAAAGGAGATACTGTGACTTGGTACCGAGAGAATGTACCTACCCACAGGCATCTGCAAAGTACCAGCTCTGTCAGTTCTCAATGCGCCGTGCCTGAGCTCGTCCTGCGCCGGACTGTTCTGGCCGGGAAGAGTGGATGTCTGTTTTTTTTTTGTTTTTTTTGTGGTGGTTCAATGTTTCGGTGAGGAACGTGCTCGAAGCGTGGCTCCGTTGCGGGACGGACCTCTTTAGACGTTCGTTTATGCTGGTGGGGCTGCCGATTGAGGTAATACGGAGTATATGCTTTGTCCGTCGAAAATGGCGCGAGTATCTTTTGACGCCGTTGTTGCTGCGTAGAATTGCAGTGTTAGAAAAAAGGGAGGCTGAAAACGGCGACAAGAAATACAGGGTAGAGAAATCGGCAGTCAGAATGTGTGAGTGTGAGCAGGCTGGATGAGGCGGCGCAAAGTATTTATTTGGATGACGGAAGAAGGAGGAAGACAGAGACGAGACGGAAGGAGGGGCAGATGGACGGGCGACGACGGGTGTGAGGGATGAATGAGGGTTGGGGGCGACAACGAGGCCTCTCTGCTCTAAGGTAAGGTATCGCACCTCAGTGGAGGTCATCACCTCTCGTCAACAATGCAAATGGAACCTGGAAAGTGTCGACAGGCTCGTTACCTACTGCTTTGGGTACGCAATCCCTAGTGCAGAAACATCCCGTCCTGCTTTTAGGGCCATCGAAAGCCAATGCCCGGCCATTCGGGCTCATCGACTTGGCTTGCGCCGTTCCGAGGACCAGTAGGAAGTCGAGGATGAACGTACCTTACCTCACCTTACCTTAATCCTGCCCTTTTCTTACCTGTAATATCCTCCACCTCCATCTTCATCTCCACCTGCACCTGCACTCTCAGTAGCTCGTCTTTCGCAGCGACTTCGATGAACTGGAATCCAGGCAGCCGTCAGTCAGCTGTGCCCGCCCCCGCCCCCCCCCCCCTCAACCCTCACGTCTCCTTACTCGCCCAAATCTCTCACCGTATCTCGGAGCACAGCCGCAGTGAGTAGGTAGGGTAAGGTGAACTCGACGTTAGGAAGCGCCGCAGCCTCCTCTGGTATTCTCGGCCTTCCATGTTGGTTGTTGTCTGGAAGCGCCGCTCACTTCTGTGTCATAATCAAGGTACCGTACCCAGCCGCCCTCCCGTCCTCTGCGGCGTTAGGTACTAAGTATACCTTCAGCGATGGAAGTCTCCACCATGGTTGAATCGTTGGACCCCTCTGCCGTTCCATGCCCGTCGTCTTCGGTAGCAGTCCTATGCAATCAATCACGCAGCCTGCTTCACATGACAACACATCGACAAAGTCTCAGCTGCGATACTAACAGTGGTAGTTTTCACAATGTTGGGCAAAGTATTCTTAGGCGCTCCTGTATCCTCAGGTGGTTTCTCCCATGATGTGTGACTGGTATTTGGTCTTGTCTAGTTGCTTGGTAATTCGAGGAGTAATCTTCTTTGAAATACACGACATGGTCTTGA